CGTACACAGACATGAAGTTGTTGGCACACTGACGCAGTTGGTACACCACCACCCCTAGGCTGGGGGCCTGGACTGTACTGCTACTCAGGAATGAAGTGTCTGTAACAAGATATGTTACAAGTATTTAAAACGAGATATGTTTAAAAATAAAGACCTCTACCCTCTTTTTTTCAAGTTTACCTTAACAAGATATGTTACAAGTACATTTAAAATAAGTACTGCAAAATAAAACATATGAATACCTTTAAAATAAATACTTGTACTCATATCATGACTGGGATGTTTTCAAGTTTACCTTAACAAACAAGAATGACCTTTTAAAGTAGAGAAAAAAATCTCCAAATATATAATAGGACCCTCCTCTTACTCAAGTGCCCTGACCCAGGGCTTAGGAATTTAACAATTTTGTTTGAGGCATTCTTACTAATTGTTACTTTGCACTTAGTTTGTCTGCTAAATACCCAGCTAAATACCAGAGATATTCAGATACCAGAGAGACCAGAGATAGAAATAGGAGATTTTCAGATATCATCAACTTTGGTATCCTAGTTTGTCCTTCAAATAACATCATACTTGCCAACCTCCAGCATGTAAAAATCTGGTCATGACCAGATTTGGAAAGTAAAAAATCTGGTCATAACACATAACAACATTCACGACATATTTACCATGATTAAATTTTATACATATATATACAAAGTATTTGTGTATTGAGAATTCTTTTATAGAAAATTAGGCTTTAATTTACAATGACAAAAAATTCATACATAATTTGATTAAATTTACATGTTAAAAACGAGAATTGAAGGTTTCAGATCAGTATTGACATGAAGTAAGTGTGCATTTTTTTTTTAAAAAAAAAGCCTTTTTAGTTTCTGCTATATTTGAAAGTTTACTAATTTCAGTTTTGAAGTTATTTTTCCTCTCTCGTCAATATGTATTAAATGTGAAGTTAGGCCTACAATGTCTTCGATCACTTTATTTTTATTCGAAAGTTTTTTTCCAAGATTCACATATTTTTCTTGGTTTAATCAGAGACATGTGTTTGGCAACTTGTTCCTGCTGGCCCTGATATGACCCAGTTCTGAAGCCATTTCAATTACAAACACTGATTTGTCAAAACAACACCCAGTTAATTGTTTACACCTGCACATTTAAAATGAGAAATGTTTAACTGGTTAAAGTTAAAAGTGCAACCTAAAAGACCTCTGGAAAGCAGGACCGGGTTGTTTTGAAAAGCAAGTCATAAAAAATAATTTACCTGAAAAACAGGTGTGAAGAAATAGTTGGCAACTATGAATAACATGCATTCCAAATTTAAAATTTAAAGGACAATCACAAATCCTGTAAAAATTAATGGACAAACAGATTGTTATAAACAATACCTTCCCAATATATAAATTAATATTTTGGATGAGGGCTTAGTCTTGTTTTATTAAACGTACTATAGGGTTATTGAATTTATATCGGTGATTATTGGCACAAGTTGGCTGTTCATGAGCTTAAGTTACCTTCACCAATAAAGTTCAATAACTCCTATATAGCTAAAACATTTCCTCATAATTCATAATTATTACTAAAAATCAAAAAATCTGCTCGAGTTAATATATACATTGGACACCATACCTTATATTCGGTTTATTTTGCATCTTACAAGATTTTATAAATATGACTCCATGTTCAGTTTAAAAAAGGTGTAAATTACTTTTCCTATTTATATATACAGGTTATAACCGTATATGAAAAGCAATGCATTTTAAAGAATTTAAAGTATAAGCTTTCCTAAACTCGTCTGACGGTTTTTAAATTTAAAAAGCGGAAAGAAAAAATAAAATGTTATATAATTTCTTTCGTTCGATAATATATATACATGTATTCATGCAATATACGTAGTATTGTTCAATTATGTACAAAGAACATTTAATTAAATTGAATTAAGTTCCTAACTTCATGAAACAAACTACGACAAGTGAAATTTTTAATCGCCGATAAAATATTTATTAAAAATGGAATGTATTTCTTCATTTGCACATAGCAACATCTCTGTGAAACAATATTTGAAAAAAAATATTCTTTACCCTAAGCCTAACCCGTCTGGACTGCTTGATTTTTGCAACATTTTATTAAAAAATAAAGATTTCGATTGACTTAGGCTTACGTTGTTTCAAGATCCCGGGTCAGTATTTTTCAAGTAATGTTTTTAATGTTAAATGACCTACCTACATGTAACAAACGAAATAAAATGAAGGTTGTTAATGATGAAACATTGGGAAGATATTTGATCACTTAATGGAACTCCTAATCTGCGATAACAATCTTGGCAAGCGTTACACATGCTGACCATTCCCCTGATACTTGAGAGATTGCTTCTCAAACCATTTGATGTACGATATGACTGTTACGTAATTGATTGATGCATTAATTAGAAACAGGAAGATGCAAACAATTTACAATGTAAAGGTGTTTAATAATCGTTGGATAGGAGTGAAGTATAGCCCTAACACTTCACACATACAAATCTTTTTAAAATTTAAAGCAAACTTAAAAAAACATTTTTTCTGATTTCACTGCATTTTATCAGGCACTGTATTTTCAGTTTTTACAATATTAAGGGCAACAAAGAAAAAATTTGACCACATCCCTGATGTTTGTGACTAATTCAATGTCAAGGTATAATACCTTCCCATATATATATAAATTTTTTGGATGATGTCAGACAATAAACACACTAGCTGCAGTGGTCAGTGTTTGGAGTAATTAGTTTACACAGCAAATCTGGATTTAAAAATAGATTTTTATGTACACTAGCTGCAGCTAAAGAGAAGCAGGTGTTTGTGTTAGGGAGTACATTATAATGCATGAAAGATTTCCGCCTAACATGCTTGAACATTTACATACGCAGCAATTGTACAGGTACAGATATTTGTTAAAAAATTCTTTAAAAGCATGAGGAATTTAAGGTAACAGTATGAAATTTTATATAATGTGTATATAATCTGATTCAAAGAAAAGCTATATCGATGATGAATGTGTTCAAAAAATTACAGCACTGAAACGCCGGTGTTAACAGAGAGTAGCTCGCTACGCGAGCCAACTCAAAAACACAAATTAATGATTTTTTAGTATTGGTATTCAAATTAACACCTGCCCTGAAAATGTTCAATATCTCATCATTCCGATGACCCTACCGAGCATTATGATTTGCTTATTGAGGTTTTAAATGGGTCTAATACATGTATACTAATTTTTTAATAAATAATATATTTTTTGTGTATAAAATAAACATATTTTAACTAGATCCACTTTCTTTTTTTAATTTAGGTCTGAGAATTGACCAAGCGATTTTTATTGTTTAAAACGGGGCGTTCGATATTGAACGCACGTATTAGGAATGTTATGGGCATACTCATATACGTATATAAATTTCAATAAAATGTTAAGATATTGAACGCTAAAATTCTCTAGATTTTTGGTAGTATTTTTTAGAGACTATTTATTGGCTATATAATAAAACAGTTTATTGACCTCTGACCTCTAGTGCTATAAATAACTTACCGTCAGTACTTCCTAGATCTCTAGCGAGGGCTTCATCCAGACTCGGTCGGAACAGAACTCGGGAAAACTGTGAGGTTGGACCTACAAATTGATTAAAAGAAAATCTGACATTACAAAAAGTTACAATATGTTTTCCTGATTCTGATATTACTTAACAATTACAATATGGTAAATGCTTCTGAGAAAGAATAAGGATAACAATTCCATTATCTGCTATTTTTTTTTCAATATGACCTATTTCCTGACACAGTGATTATGTAAAGTTTACAAAATTATTATTATTTCCCTATAATTTTATTAAGTTTGCAATATCATTATTAATGCCCAACACTAAACAATGTTTATAAAGGTATTATCTAGCTCTTACACTTTATAAAGGAAGCAACATAATTTTTGGCCCCTTACACACATAAATTTAAAGTGAAAGCATAACAACTTAAAAATTTTTTATTTTACAGGTTTATCAACACTTAATTAATCAATCTGACAAGATACGATTCCTTAAATTTGTGGTTTTAATTTGTTGAGATGACAGCTCGACATATTTTGGAGGTCAACAATTAAATTATCTAAAAATTTATGCAAGATTTCAAGAGGTTCGCAACTTTTCAAATATCTAAATGCTTCCTGGAGTTTATGTGTAAAATTTTGACTCCAGTAACTTGCAATTGTTTATTGACTTTCTCAGATATACAGTACTTTGGCATTAAAGCCAACATCTGTCTCTCAATCCTACAGTTTGACCTTTAAACTCTATTCGCAGCTGGGTCAAGGTCATCAAATTACTGCAAATAATATTTTATTTGTAGAACATTAGACAATCAAGATACAAAAGAGTTTGAACATTTTGTGTACAAACATTTTTGAAAAACAATCACTGACAAGTAAAAATGCGATCGATGAATCGTTTATATAAATTGTGTTCCATAAAGGCAAAACAGCCTGTAATAGTTAGTTTGTGTGTATACAGCTATCCAGCTGTTTGAAATAGCAAATAATTTCATTTTGTGGTATTTTGAAAACCTTATATTATATGTGACGTCATAGTAAACATTTCCCGTACAATTAAGCCCCGCCTCCTTACTGTAACCTTAACTGTGCTGCGTATCTCCTGACACACATAAATTTAAAGTGCATCACCTATAACAGCATGGAATGGTGAACAATATTGTAAAATGTTTGTGGGGGTCTGATATTTCTGGATTCCATGGGTCACCTTAACCCATAAAATTACATTCCAATGTCAATATTTCTTTAAATGTATGCATATCAATTACTCGATTCTAATCTATTTTTAAGTAACCTATGAAATTATGTCTACAAGAACGTGTAACTTGCCTATGAACACCCATACCCACAGGTGACAAAACATGAGAAATTCTACTTGATACGCATAAAAATGTCAGAATGAAAAAAATCAACTTCCATAAAGGCACAAACCTCTGGAGTTAGCTCGTGTCAGTACCGCTGTAGTTAGAGCTAGTTCACGTAGAGCTGGGAGACTTAAACTGGGCTGTCTGTTCTAGAATGCCCAGTGAAAAGGTCTCCATGAGACAAAATAAACTGCATCACCTATATAACAGCAGGGAATGGTGAACAATTCTGGCAAATGTTTGTGCTGGGATCTGATATTTCTGGATTCCTCACCCTACCCATAAAATTACATTCCAAGCAATATTCATTTAAATGTATACATACAATACTCGATTCTAATCTACAAGTCAACATGTAGTGTAAATGTATGCTCAGGCAACGTGTAACTTGCCTATGAACACCCATACCCATATGTGACAAAACATGAGAAATTCTACTTGAAACGCATATTTTCTATGGAACTATCTAAATACTGTTATGGGTCCATGAGGGGCTCTGCATTAAACAAATACAGCTGTTGTAGATATTTACTTGATTGCCACAGTCCTGGTTTTCTATGCCCAGTGAGGTCAGCATGGCCAGACAGAATTTGAGGGCGGCAAAGAGAAGTTGACGATAGCGGGCCATGGGGCTAGGCAGGAAGTCCTCCTCTGTATCAACACCAGCTTCATCTCTGTAAAACATACAATACCGTAAACAATCAACATGTAGTGTAAATGTATGCTCAGGCAATGATTACTGAGAAACCGATTTCCTTAATTCATTATACATTCTAAACTGTTAATCTCTATACTACTACTACATGTACATAATTACAGTAGAAGGTTTTGATTAATTTAAATTAAAGAATAGACAACAATCAAGACATTTACAAATAATGAGCTCATTTCCTCATTGACAAGTAATGATTAGAGAAAATCTAAATAAATCTGAATCATAGAGTATATGCAAACGGCCTATCTGCTAACCTCTAAATCACCATGTGTACTAGGACATGTTTGATTTCTATACAGATTCATCAGATCCTTTAGCCGACATACCCACCTGTCAAAGTCAGGTCGAAGGTCAAAGAAGACACATCCAGCCAGTCTCTGCATGACTCCACACTGTAACAAGGTGTGAGCCCCCACGGCTGATTCTGCCACCCGAGTCAACAAACTCTGAAACACAGTCATTGTATATATATCAACATGTAAGTCAACAAACTCTGTAACACAGTCATTGTATTTATCCATTTACATGTACCAGGGGTAAGTCAAACAAGAGGCCCATGGGCCACATCGCTCACCTGAGCACTGTGGCTAAGAAGAAGTAGAAAATTGGTTTATTATTATGGAGTTTTAATCCAACAGAACTTACAGAAGTCCCATGACCAATCATGGCTTTACTATTCCTGAGAAGATGATTTTTAAAGAATTTTTCTGTATATTTCTATGTAAAACTTTAGTCGGCCATTTTAGCCCCACCCTACCCCCGGGGGTCATGATTTGAACAAACTTGAATCTACACTACCTGAGGATGTTTCTCCATAAGTTTCATCTTTCCTGGCACAGTGGTTCTTGAAAAAAAGATTTTTAAAATATGCCACCAAATTTTCATTAATTCCCAATTATCTCCCCTTGAATGAGGGCCTGGCCCTTTATTTGAACAAACTTGAATCCCCTTCACCAAAGGATACTTTGTGTTAACTTTGGTTGAAATTGGCCCAGCGGTTCTTGAGAAGAAGTCGGAAATGTGAAAAGTTAACAGACAGACAGACGGACAGACGGACAGACAGACAAACGGACACCGGACAAAATGTGATCAGAAAAGCTCACTTGAGCTTTCAGCTCAGGTGAGCTAAAAACTCTGTGACACACAGTGAATTTTTATTTATATGTCATAGCCCTTAAATTTAATATCAATATAGAAAATCAATGAACTACAGCTAAATCATAATTTTTGAATGTGTTACAGATAAATGTTTGTTATATGCATGATGACAAATGTGGGGGTAGAATAAGTAGTAATGTAAGACGTACCAGTTTAGACAGATAGATATACAGCACTCTGAGTTGGGGGGTGGGGGACACAAGGGTCTGTAGTGGCTGGTCGTCATGGAGAAGGCTGTCCACCAGGTGTTGGAGGTAACCTTTAGAGGACAGAAAGGTCATCCACTGCTGAAACTTGTCCATAGACAGAATGGTGTCAAGTACTGATAGAGCCAGCATCTACAACAGACAATATTAATATAGGTCATGCACTGCTGGAACCTGCTCAAAATGAAAGCAGTGGATATAAAAATACACAAGAATATCAAGATTCACTCCTTACCCGTCCTACATCGTGTCCATCACATGCGTCACGACACACCATGTCCATAAAGTTGTCGCCGTATGACAGAATGGTCGCCACATTTTCACGCCTCAGCTGTTCATACTCAGAGTGGGCATCAGCCAAAATCCTCTTCCCGACCCCATCACCTCCTGCCTCTGTCAGAAAAGGAAACATTGTTGTAAACCTTTGTCAAGCTAGTTTAGGTTTTGTATTTCATATACTGTGGAATCATTATTGTTCGTGGGGAACCAATGTTCATGGCTTTCGTGGATAACCCTAACCCACGAATTTACATCCCCACGAATGTATATACAAACATATATTTTAACATTTGTTAAAAGTTACGATTACAGAGATCATTTTATATCGTAAACTACCCGTTACCCTTGTGTCCGTGTGACCGCGCATAAAGAAGACATTATATATATTGTATATACATGTATATTGTATTATATCATGTGGTTATAGACACAAAACCAAAATAAATAAATAAATAAGAAATATTAAGTATCAGCGACATCGATAACTTTATACATTAAGCAATCAAATGATAAATACAACTGCTAAAATTAAGTATTGTTTACATTACAATCTAACACGCTCAAATGTCCCTTTAATGAGGTCAATTATCAGTGCGATGTTGGAGTAGTGCTAATTAGCCAATTAGCATGAATTTGTTACAGGGTAAACGTATTATCGTTCTCATTGATTTAGATATTTAAAAACATGCTCTGCGTATCACTGGTGTTCTTATAATTATAATTTTTATTCACTGTGACATTACGGGTGTAATTTGGCGGTACAAGCCCCGGTACACATTTGTGTTCACAAGATAGATAACTTAAATAAGTGAAATTGTCAGAGTTTTCCTTCTTTATTCTAATTTTAGAGAAAAAAAAAACGAAATAAAACTTGTTACTAACGAAATTACGTCCCCACGAACCAGGAAATATTTGGCTATCCACGAACATTGACCCCCACGAATAAAAATGATTCCACAATAACACTTGAAGAGCATGTATGTATTCTAAATAGTTACATACAACTTTATGTAGACCCATGAATGCCACAAAGTAAGAGCAAAATCTGTGGAGTTTTGTTGACATTCAGGCTTTGACATCTTACTTTGAATTATATTCTTAAACAAGACACATGTGACATCTACTTAAACATACCTGTATCTGTGTGAGTCAAAGACTTGGGTTTCTGAGCAATTTGTAGATAATACAGCAGGGCCCCATATAAGTTGGCTCTTACTCTCTGCTGGCCACCACCTAAACAGAATTAGAAACTGATTAAAATTTCTTATTCTTGTACATAGGTGTTTGAAATAACAGCTTCATGAACATGCCCTTTGAAAAATTTCTTTTCAGCAAAAAAGTCTCTTCATGTAGTATTCAAATATTTCAGTAATATGTTTTTACTTGAAAGCAAAAAGTATGTACTACTAAGATATTTCAATAAAAACTTACTTGAAAGCAGAATGTGGTCTATTACTCCTCTAAGCACCAGTTGAAGGGAGGAAGCAAATTGGGTCCGTGACCCTGACACTTGACCCCATGACCCTGTTTGACCTTGACCTACTGTGGAGTCCAGCATGGTGAGGAAGTGTGAGGTTTCATCGTCGGTGACAGAATCCTGACAGAAACACTGACGTAGATTTGTCATCAGAGTCAGGATGATCCCAGCCACAGGGGCAGTTAACTCTGTCAAGGCATCATCTTCTGTCACCTAAAGATTATGAATAGCTTTTTAATTATCAATACTGAATGCAGTATCTTGCAAAGAAATATCAAAGATTTTTTCTTTCCCTAATATCAAAAATATTCCCCCCCCAAAAAAAAATGTCAACAAGAATATCTGTGAAAAGATTAAAGGACAATGTTACCTTTCTTCATACAATTCAAGTCTCGTATAGAGATGAAATTTGGTCCAAAGTTAGCATTGGTCAAATATTTATTTTCTGGGAATGGGGATGGCTTGTTCAATTATGGCAATACCTTTGGGTCGGTAAACAAGACACACAGATGTTGTTTTACCTTTCTCTGTAGTTCCTGTAGCAGCTCAAACAGTACAGTCTGTCTGTCCTCAGCGGTCAGTAGGTCCTCAGGACACGCGGTCAGCAGAACCTCTGTCACCTGACGCCACGCCTCCAGAGCCTGCTGTTTGGTGGACAGTTCCTGTCGGATCCTGTTACGCAGCACCACATGATGCAGAATATTCTCCACTTCCTAAAATAGTTTGGTAAATTGTTCAATATTTTGTCAATATTACAGGGTACTTTAAATTTTACATGTAATTTGCCCTTTCTTGAAGGCAAAGTAAAAGGGTTTTCGCAAAAAATAAATATGGCAAAAATCAGAAAGTGAGCTGAGAAAGTTTGGTGTGGAGGAGAATGGAGCATAAGATCTGAATGGGTGGACAGACTCTGTGGCACAAAGAGGACTAAGTAAGAAAGTAACTTTAATGCTTGAGGCTTCTTCATAAATGTGATATTGATCTCACCTCCAAAACTCGAGGTCTCTGAGTCACCAAGATATTGCCTTGGTAGTTGTTTAACTCGTTCATCAGTAGGCAGTGAAGTCGTTTGACGTCACAATACAAAATGTCCTGTTCAGTGCGAGTTTCTACACTTTTGATGGCTTGTTCAATCATCGACAATTCGAAAAACTCCAACTTCATAGTAGGAGGATAACGCTGTGAAAAGTCAACTTCGTCCAGAAGTCCTAGCAACTTCCTGCGCACTTGGCGGCCTGGAAAAGGAAAATGAAGTGAGAAACAGTCTACATGAGCAAGAGCAGTGGGATAAATTTTCCATGTTTTTTTATGCTTACTCCTGAACGGCCTGGTTGTCTGAGACAGATAAGATGTCTGTAAACTCTGCTCTGTAAATCTGTCGTACGTCAGGTCAGCTTCATCTCCTAACGCTGGTTGTAACACTGAAAAATGAAAATCATAGAACTTGATTACTTTCTTTAGCAAATCAGACTGTTATGATACAGGACCTCCTCCAAATTATTGTAAGACTCTTATTAACCTTGACTTTACCATATTAACCCCTAAACAGACATGGATCAAGACATTCATTAACTTCAGTGTGTGACCTTTGAACTTGACCTTACCTGATTGACCTTCTGACCCATCATCCAGAAGGGCCTTCATTAATCTCAGTGTGTGTGACCTTTGACGGTTCAGTGCAGTCAGTCGCAGTTCAATGGCTATCAGCTTCAGCAACCAGGACTGGGAAATCATTACAGGGCGTTCTAAAAATAGTAACAAAATTTATAACATACATGTTTGGGCCGACTTCAAATGCACATGAAAATTTGATTGTAATACTGCAAATAAATCACTGAGACACATCTTAAATGAATAAAATAATCTAGATTTTTACAAACATTTTCTTCACAAAATATGAAAATTCTTAATTGAATTTGAACTCACTATAAAACTGCTGAGTGAAAGGTAGATGCTGGAGCTGCCTGTACAGGAAGTCCCTCGTTGTACGTAAATATCGTAAAGTGGGCGTCGACGTCTCCTTGTTGGCAGCCAATAGGTAGATGAGTTTGTACGCCAGCTCAGACAGTCGTGGAGTGTCCCTCAAGCAGGTGGGGCCTGAGTGTGTCCCCACCCCCCTCTCTAACAGGGACAGAACCGCATGTAGACAGGTCTTAGGGGACCCTAAGATACCTGGTTTTAGAAATTCAAATTTAATTTGTAAATGTGCAGAATTTAACCTTAATAGATTTTAAAATCTTTTGCATCTTGAACTAAAAGTTAGACAAAACTTCTTTTTTCAGCTCACCTGGATCCTGGAGCAGAGTCCTGCTAACAGACTTCCTAATGTCAAAGCCCAGCAGCAGGTGTGCCAAGTTTGGTGAAGGTTGGTCTAGAGATCTCAGTAGGACCTGAAGTAGGTACTGTCTGGTGGAGTTACGGACGTGGCCAATCTCACGGGAATCATCTGTTACAATAAAGCTAATCAGTAATAAAGTGACATTATAATGGCATTCTTTGAACTTCTCGGAAATTTAAAACATTACTGTAAATCACTTTTTATTCGCGAGACAATGTGCTCGCAAAAATTTAATTCTCGCGTATAATAGTATTCCTTAGGAGTATATAGAGCAATAACCACAATTCGTGAAAATTTCTCGCTAATCAAGAGCCAATGACTATCTCGCGAAAATAAGGTGTCGCGAAAATTTAGTGATCTAAAGTATATTTGCATTAATGTTTACATTACTATCTGAGAGAGAAAAGTGCAATTTTTTTAGCATCAACCATATGCAGGAATATTTCTGCTTACATCATTTTCACATTATCACTCTTGAAAACAATTTGATTTGATTTTCACAAAGACACAGTACTGCTTATGAGAAAATGTCATTTTAAATTTGCTCAAGTGAAAAAGGGAGAGAAGGGGGGGATTCACTGTATATATATATATATACAGTATTGTTTAAACAAAATGGGAATTCAAAACTATAAGAGATCAATCCACACTGTTAAGATTCCTAGTTCCTATCTTCCTCAGGTTTATCAGGTGAATGCCCCCTTCCTTAACACCTCGCTGTTGAAACCATTATCATCTTTCTCTGAAACAATACACCACTTCTCCATGGGACCCTAGTTACCCTCTTCCTCTGTAAGTGGATTGTCTCTCTCTCTCTCCACACAATTTTAACATACCCTCTTCCTCTGGTAAGCGGATTGTCTCTCTCTCACTCTCCATACAATTTTAACACACTCTTCCTCTGGTAAGTGGATAGTCTCTTTCTCTCTCTCTCTCCACACAATTTTAACATACCCTCTTCCTCAGGTAAGTGGATTCTCTCTCTCTCACTCTCCACACAATTTTAACACACTCTTCCTCTGGTAAGTTGATTCTCTCTCTCTATCTCCTCTCTCTCCACACAATTTTAACATACGCTCTTCCTCAGGTAAGTGGATTGTCTTCTCCACCATTTGTTCCGGCTCCTCCACTTCCAGACATTCCACAAATCCGTGGAGCAACTCCAAATGAGAGGTCTGGAATAATGAATTTAAATATTTAATAATCTACCGTATATCCAGTTTTTTCGCGCGTTTGAAATTTTGTGAAAAGGGGGTAGATAAGTTCCTGTTTTTATTTTGCGTAGGCTTTTTTTTTACGATTGCAGATTTTTTTGTTTAAAATGGTTTTATGTCACTTTATAGTTGAAATAATTTCTGCGTGTTTTATATTTTGCTAATTAAAAATGATTGCGAAAAAAGCGAAAAATAGATCACCGCGAAAAAAAAACGGATACACCGTAAACCAAGAATTGCAAGGCTTACGTTTTTTTAAAAAACCCTTACAACAATTAAGTAAACCATTTATTTAATTCTGGATCTAGGCACATCTTTATAAGTATGAACCAGACTGAAGATAAAAAACCTCTGCTGAAGAAGAATTTATGGCTTTAAAAAATGTTCATCTTGGTGTTTCCATCAAAATATATCAAAATGTATAGATTTACCTGATTTGATGTGAACAGATTGACAAGGGCCACTTGGACAGGAGCTGAGTGACACACGCGATACAGGATCTTCATCGCTGACTGGGCATGCTCAGGAAGAGGAATGCTGAACTGTATAAACCTACATAATTATAAAACATTTATTCTAACTCTCACCAATTGTGACCATGATCACACAATGATAAAATTATGATAAAATGATGATAAAATTAATGTTTCTTACAACTTTTCACATATTTATATTTTTTATAAGACTAAATGCAATAAAAACTTTCATATCAATAAAAATTAATGTATTTTTGTTTCTTTATGACTTTCAGTCACCTACTTTGTGACATTAACAAGGTGGTCGGCTTTCCCGCTGCGTGGATTAATACTCAGGAGAAGACGATCCATGGCAGACACCATGGCGGAGGCTCCGGTCTCACGACACGCGTCCAGGAATGTCCCCGACTTCTCCAGACTGGTCTCTATCAGCTGTAAACACAGCAGACTGGCCGACTCCAGGGCCTCCTGTCCTGTACAGAACAACCAATCAAATTAACTCTCTTTACATCAGCCAGGCCAATAAACCAATCAAATTAACTCTCTTAACATTAACTAATCCAGTCAACCAATCAAATTAACTCTCCTAGCATTGGCCAGTCTGATCAAATTAACACTCTTAGCATTGGTCAGTCCAATGAACCAATCAAATTAACTTTCTTAACATTTGCCAGGTAAATCAACCAATCGAATTAACTCTCCTAGCATCAGCCATTACAATCAACCAATCATATCAACAGACTTAACACTGACCATTCCAATCAACCAATCGAATTACCTAACTTAATAATGGCCAGTCCAGTCAACCAATCAAATTAACCCTCTTAGCATTGGCCAGTCCAATCAACCAATCAAATTACCAAACTTAATAATGGCTAGTCCAATCAACCAATCAAAATAACTCACTTAACATGTAGATAAAACCATTTACATAGCAATATGTAATTTAACTTTACTTCTGTGAATAAAACACAATCATTTAAAAAAAAATTCTTTAACCATACATGTTAACCTATCGTGATGAAAAATAGGGAGATTCAGACCTCAAAAGCGGTAGCATTGCGCACGTGTTGTTTAACGCTTGGATTGTCGATATTTTTCATGTAATATACATGTATATTATAAGCCTTAAATGAAATCAGGTACCTACACTTACTAATCTTAAATATCAACAGCAAAGAAGAAGACAGAAACAACTTAAGTTTGACATAAATTTTACAAATTCAAATATTTTTCATGCTCATCATTTTGCTTGGATTGGCTGCTTTACTTAGCCTTTTGAAGAGTGATCTTTGCTGATATAGCCTAGAAGCAATAATTCTGAATGTTCATTCAGTTTTTAAACAAAACAAATGATGACATGGTTTAATCTAGATCAGGGTGTGCAATTAGCATCGCCCGACGCCCGGGGCTACCATTTCTTGTGGTCGGGCTAGTGATTTTCTGCAAGGAGGTAGCCCCTTGGGCTAGTAAAAATTTTAACTACACACGCAATACATGAAAAGCACAACCGGTATTTTCAACGTTTTTTTGCCATTTAATTCCCAACCAGTAAATATTTTCCAGACAACATGCTCCAACTTCAAATAAATCTCAATAATCTTATCTGTTTTGCAGTATTACCTGACTTGTTTACTTCCAAAAACAATCGTTTTTTTCTTAATCCGAATTTCCTCTATTCATTCGTTAATGGTAAATATATGCAGATATCTCATTAAAATATTTACAATCACACAATCAACTGAAAAATAAGTGTTTGGTGACTCACATAAAATATATTTCTAGTGTATTTATGATTAAACATGAAATTCAAAACAAAATGAATTTAATTTCATTCTAAATGAGCTGCTGCTAGACTAAGTGCAATGTTCAGAAAAAGGGAAGATAATTTATTTAAATTCATTTTAATTTTCTTACATGATAATTTAAACATGATTTTAAAATTTAATAGTGAGAATTATACATTAATTTTAAAAAGAATTAACTTAGTACCCTGACCTTTTCAAAATTAATTTCATTTTATTTAAATTTTTGCCCCTATATTTGGGCTAGTAACTTTTTACTTGGGGCTAGTAACTTTATAGCTGCCACTAGCCCGTGGGCTAGTAATAAATTTTTCTAATTGCACACCCCTGTAGATCTAAAACAAGTTCCTATCTTTCGTTATATAAATCAGATTTCCCGCGATGATCGAAAACGAAAGTAGAGATGTGCCACATGGCTTGGTCAATCGAGTGATTTCTATTGACTTTATTGATAAAGTTGTGAGCCTCTGTGCTTTTAAAGACGATGTCAAATGTTTTCATCTAATTCTTAAAAGCTGTATCTCCTTTTTCATGGCAGGGATGTTGATTAATTTATCGTAACCAATGTAATCACTGGTAGTCTTGTGTTGTTGTCGTTGTCAAATCCATGCTTGAAATCTATGTACAAAAAAAGCGTTTGTATGATTCCGAGTCAAATCACGCGATATCTATCGAGATTTTATGAGAGTGGCTTCAAAAATGGATACCCAAGCGGACCAAAAATACTTTTGACGCAGCTTTTATAGAAAAGCGGTAGATTTCTGAATTAAATCGGTAGGCGGGAGATGGAGTGAAAAAGCGGTAGACTCCCGCCTAAATCGGGAGAGTTAACATGTATGCTTTAACTATTTACCTGGTATAGCCTTGTATGTTTCAAGTTGTCGTACACTGTCATCAAGTATTTTCAACACCTGAAATAGAACTTAGATTCTTAATGAAACAAAGTACATGTCCCCACCTCCTAGCCCAATCTAAAAAAAAATATCCCAAAAGATCTCCGTTTTCATGGGAAAATCTGCGACTCTTACCGTGGACAAGAAGTGGGAGTCCTTCAGCAGATGTAGCATCAGGATGTACCCCGGGGACTTGTTAGCGGGGACCACGCCCCCCATCTGTACCTCAACCAGCTCCTCCCCAAAGTCACCCCCCACTACCTCATATTCCCGCAGGAGCTTACAGAGGATCCTC